GGTGGACCTCTAGAGCTCATAGGTTTAAGACTAGTCTGAGCCAGAGACCTCCTCTCTAAAAAAAAAAATAGCAGGGCTTGTAGTGGTGTCTGTAGTCCCAGCTACTTGGGAGGCTAAGAGTTTGAGGTTGGTGTGAGTTATGACCCCAAGGCACTCTACCAAAGGTGACAAAGTGAAACTGTCTCAAAAAAAGAAAAAAAAAATGGGGGCGGGGGGAGCGGTGGCAGTGGCTCACACCTATAATCCTAGGTTGAGATGGGTAGATGGCCTGTGCTCATGAGTTCAAGACCCCATCTCTAAAAATAGCCAAGTTTTGTGTTAGGTACCTGTAATCCCAGCTACTTGGGAGGCCGAGGCAAGAGAATTGCTTGAGCCCAAGAGTTTGAGGTTGCTGTGAGTTATGACACCAGGGAACTCTACCAAGGGTGACAAAGTGAGACTGTCTCAAAAAAAAAAAAAAAAAGAAATTCCTAGGTGAGATACCACAGGAATACCTCTAGAAGAGGGGCTAGTGTGGAGGGTATACTCCATATTCCAGGCTATGATCTCCTTAGCCTGGCACTCCTCCATGAAGAACTCCATTGTTGCTGACTCCTTTTATATTCTTTTTTTTTCCCCTGAGACTGTCTCGCTTTGTTGCCCAGGCATGAAGGTAGTGGTGTGATCATAGCTCACCTATAACCTCAAACTTTTAGGCTCAAGCAATCCTCTTGCCTCAATCTCCCAAGTAGCTAATACTACAGCATATCTGACTAATTTTTTTATTTTTTATAGAGATGGGGGGTCTTACTATGTTGCCCAGGCTGGTCTGAAACTCCTGACCTCAAGCAATCTTCATGCCTTGTCGTTTGAAAATGCTAAGATTATAGATATGCTACCATATCTGGCTCCTTTCACTTTTTTTTTTTTTTTAGACAGCGTCTCACTTTGTCACCCTGGTTAGAGTGCTGTTATGTCATAGCTCACAGCAACCTCCAACTCTGAAGGCTCAAGTGATCCTCTTGTCTCAGCCTCCCAGGTAGCTGGGACTATAGGGATCCACCACAACACCCAGCTATTTTTAGAGATGGGGTCTTGTTCTAGCTCAGGCTAGTCTCAAACTCCTAAACTCAAGCAATTTACCAGCCTCAGCCTCCCAGAGTGCTAGGATTACAGGCATGGCTGGGCTACCCTTTTTCACATTCTACTTGAGAATTAATCCCCAACAAAGGTTGACTGGTATGTGGGGGGGAAAGTTTGTATCAAAGAGCTTCCCCCTCTTTTTTTCTGAGACAGAGTCTCACTATGTCTCCCAGGTTAGAGTGCCACAGCCTCAGTCTACCTCACAGCAACCTCAATCTCTTGGGCTTTATAGTGATCCTCCTGTCTCAGCCTGCTGAGTAGCTGGAACTACAGGCATTTACCATAATGCCTGACTAGTCTTTCTATTTTTAGTAAAGAAGAGGTCTTGCTCTTATTCAGTCTGGTCTTGAACTCCTCAGTTCAAGCAATCCACCCACCTCAGCCTCCCAGAGTACTGGGATTACAGATATTAGCTTTCCCTGTTTATAATGCATTTAAACAACATCCCAGCAAAAAAACCTTCACGAAATAGTGTGTAATTACTTCTATTCTAGTGGGAAAATTATGAGGGCAGCTCAGGTAAACTGGCACAGTACTGCAGTTTAAGAGTACAGCTGCCTATTTATCACTTAAGAATGGACACCAGGAGAAACAGAGCAGTAAAGAAATACTGGACATCTTAGACAGATTTGTGGAGTGTCAATCACTTTGCTTGAAGGCAAAATTGAGTCAAAACCACACCCTTATTTAAATTAAAGAATAAAACTACAATCCAAGGCAGACTGCTTTGGAGGTTAGCCATGATTTAGCTCCTCTTAGGTTATTAGTTTCCTATTGGTGCTATAACAAATTATCACAAACATAGTGTAAAACAAAAATCTATCATCTTATAGTTCCATAGTTTAGAAATCAGAAATAGAAGTGTCAGTAGGATTGCATTTCTTTCTGGAGACTCTTGGAGAGTCTCTTTTCTTGCCTTTCCCATCTTCTAGAACAGTGGTTTTCAACTGGTATACCTTGAAAAATTTTAAAGATCATTAATTAAATTATTCTCAAAATAAGTTCAAAGCACAGTAAGTCTATTCTTTTTTTTGAGACAGAGTCTCACTTTGTCGCCCTTGGTAGAGTGCCCTGGCATCATAGCTCACAGCAACCTCAAACTCCTAGGCTCAAGCAAGTCTCTTGCCTCAGCCTCCCAAGTAGCTGGGACTACAGGCACCTACCACAACACCCGGCTATTTTTTTGTTATAGTTGTCATTGCTATCTGGCAGGCCCTGGGCCAGGTTCAAACCCACCAGCCCCAGTGTGTGTGATTGGCACCCTAGCTGCTGAGCCACAGGTGCCAAGCTGGTACATTCTTTTCTTTTTTTTCACTTTTTTTTTGATCAACATAATTTAAATGTGCTGTGGAATTTTAACTTATAGGTTCAAGTGTGCTGTGAAATAAAAAAAGTCAAAAAACAGTTACTTGGCTCATGGCTCCCACTCATCTTTAAAATTTGCAAAGGCTGGTTGGAGTTTTTCTCACATTGCATTACTCTTAACACTTGACTCTTCTGTGACCCTCTTCCATCTGTTAAGTATGCTTGTTATTACCAAAAGCCTTGCAGAATAATATAGGGTAACTTCCCTATTTCAAGTCAGATGATTAGCAACCTTATTTCTCTCCTCATGAAATATAACATATTCACAGGTCCAAGGGACTAGGACGTGGATATCTTTGGGGAAACCAATATTCTGTTTATCATACCTGTGTTGGTCAAATAATTTAGGGTTCATTCATTCAGTGAGGTCATTTTATTGAACACTTAATATATTTTAGTTTCTGGTAGGCTGTAGGGCATACACAAAAGAAAAGAATACTACTTTATTTGCCTATACTTATATGACAATTCACTGTGAATTAAAGAATACTACTTTATTTGCCTATACTTATATGACAATTCACACTATTCACTGTGTAGTTACTAATAGCAACCTGTTGAACACAGAGGCCATAAGTAACTTCCTTTACATATTGGTGTAGTGAAGTTCCTGTAAAAGTATTTTCTCTCTGAAGTACAGATAACCATGCTACTGATAAGAAATTTCACTACAAGGGCAATGTGGTATACTGAAAAAAGTTAGGTTTTTAAGACACAGGCAAACTAGAATCTAAAGATCAAGTCACCAGACTTCTGTGGTTCTCTTCTGTAAATGAGGATATGATTATCCATCTCAAAGTATTGTTTACTATACAGATTGAGCAGGAACTCATGTTCTCCTGGCACAATATTCCACAAATATTAACTTAATTCTATTTCTTTTCTGTAAGACTTCAACATTCATTTCAATATTTCCGTGACTTGCTTTGCATTAGACTATAAAAGCATGTGAATGAAATTTAAGGACATAGTCCCTGCTCTTAAATAAAAACAAGTGGCTGGTAGCATAACACTCTGGCATATATGAAACAATTAAAAAAAGATGAGTGTAAACCTAAATGGGCTCCATGACAATGTTGGAATTTGGTTAGGTAAACTAAACATATATGGGGTAATTAAAGCTGATTTCCTCTTTGCTGTTTAAAAAACAAAATGAGCAAATAAAACCTAACCTATATATTCTAAGTAGGAAATTTAGAACCTTCTACTTGAATTTTATTTTTTTTTTTATTTATTTTTTATTTTTTTGAGACGGAGCCTCAAGCTATCGCCCTGGGCAGAGTGCCATGGCATCATGCTCACAGCAACCTCCAACTCCTGGGCTCAAGCGAGTCTCCTGCCTCAGCCTCCCAAGTAGCTGGGACTACAGGCGCCTGCCACAACACCTGGCCATTTTTTGGTTGCAGCCATCATTGTTGTTTGGCGGGTCCGGGCTGGGGATTCGAACCCGCCACCTTAGGTGTACGTGGCTGGCGCCTTAGCCGGTTGAGCTATAGGTGCTGAGCCGCAATTTAGACTTTTGAACACGTTTTTCAGAAGTACATACAAAAATATGAAATTGTCTATTCTAAGAAAACAATTCAAACAATAATGACAACCTCAACAACAAAATGGCTAGGCGTTGTGGCGGGTGCCTCTAGTCCCAGCTACTTGGGAGGCTGAGGCAAGAGAATCGCTAAAGCCTGAGATTTGAGGTTGCTATGAGCTGTAACGCCATTGACATTCTACCTACCAAGGGCGACACAGTGCGACCCTTAAAAAAAAAAAACCTACTCAATAAGATAAAGTTTGGAATCTGTGGATTTTAATAGTCCATAGTTCTCCTTAAATGAATCATCAAATATCCGTTAAAAGCTTTGCGGAAACAAGTTATTTAGTAGTCACAGAAACCTGATAGATCTAGATTATCATTGTTTTATTAACGATATGGAAGACTAGAATACAAACTACCAATTACACCCACAAACCTTATAAACGACTCTAAACGATAACATAATAATATTCTACACTTTCCCTATACCTAAGAGCTAATTCTACCTTACATATCTTATTATTTCATATATCAACCCTGAAGACATTTGAAGTTGACTAATTTTAACGAACAGTTTTTGATAAGGAACTAAGAAAAATAACCTGTTGAATGACATACAAAACACGAGAGGCAGAATCCAGAACTGAATTAGAAATACGCGGTTTCTTCATCCTCTTTTTTAGGCCGCCTAAAGAGGTTAAAGATGCATCTATCATCCTCGAGGTGTGCATAAAGGGCAAAAATACTATTGTGTACAGTGGAATAGAATTCGAGAAATCTGAGCCGGGCTACCAACAGGGAGCAGACCACCACGCCGGTCCTTCCGCAGGTCCTAGCCTTAGGACTGCGCGCCCAGAAGAAGCCCCTCAGGAGAGGCGCCGGTGGAGCTTCCTCCGGGCTCGCACCTCCCCATCTCACGGAGGCTCGGAGTACGGTTCCTCTCCCTCATGGGTCCAACCCCCGTGCAACTCCGTTTCCTCACCGTGAGTCGCCGCTAGTTCTCCGAACGTGGTGACCTGCAGACCCCGGCAGAAAAGACTCCAAAGCACCCGCTCGGCAACTGCAAAGAGAGAGCGGTAGTGCGGCAGGAAGAGCGCAGCGCGCAGCCGCCGCGGCCTCCAACCACCGGCCAGTGGAGGGGCGCCGGCAGCCCGTGACGGCTTCCCGCGGCCTGGCGGAGGACGAGCGAGGAGACGAGCTTCAGTGCCGCGGCGAGACGCCCAGGGAGGTAGGCTGTCGTAGGCGTCCGCTCTGCACTATGGTAGTTACAATCAGAAGGGCAATCTCTGCCGGCTTCTGCCTGGCCTCTTCTCCCTGCCTCTGCAGCCGAAGGGAATGGAACAGTCCCGCGGGGGGGATTGTGGGAGG